ATCCTGGATCAGTATTTGATCCCATTTGGTGAGCAAATTGCCGGTAAAGACTGGATTTTGCAACAAGACAACTCATCAGTCCATCGTTCAACTGTAGTGCAGACCTTCTTAGCCGCCAAGAACATCGAGCCTACGGAATGGCCGGCACTTACACCTGACGCCAATGTAATTGAGAACGTCTGGGGATATATGGCTCGAAAGGTTTACCCAATGGGAAGACAATATCAATCGTTAAATGACTTAAAACTGGCGATTCAAGCGGTTTGGGAAGAAATTAGTCAGGAATACATTCAAACACTGATTAATTCAATGCCTGAGAAAGTGTTTGAAATGATCATCAAAAAGGGAAATAAGATTAATTATTAATTGTTTTATTTTAGTTGTAATTTTAATATAATTTCATATAATTAAAAGTGTTTCTATACGATTGAAACGGTATTTTTACTTTAAAAGCGCGCGCTATGGTAACGGGTATTGTTATGGAACTGATGGTCAGCACTACTTGTGCACAAATGTTGGAACTATATTTGGTTCAAATTTTACCATGATAACGTCTGTGGTTTAAATTTTATTCGCAAAAAACATACTGTTTTTTTACGGTTGAAACGCACTGTAGTATAAAATGTTCTATTTTGTAAATATTGTGGTTTATTGTAAAGTGCTATGGTCGTTTTGGTTTTGTTGAATTGGTTAATTTTGTTTGCATGGTTGGTTTTGTTAGCTTGGGTTGTTTTATTCGCTTGGTTGGTTTTGTTTGCTTAGCTAGTTTTGTTTGTTTGCTCGATTTAGTTAGCTTGGTTTGTTTCGTTAACTTGGTTGATTTTGTTTGTTTTATTGGTCTTTGTTGAATTCGTTTAGTTTGTTTGGTTTTGTCAGTGGTTTTTATTTTATTACTACTATTTGTAACCAAAACGGGCGCAACTTTTTGTTTGGATTTTGCGGGTATTTCACAGTTTTGCCTGAGATACTCATCAAGTGGTTGACCCCCACTCTCATTTCTACCCTCTTCGATACACTTTCTATTAATCCTAATAAACTCATTCCAATCACTTTTGGTTATATGCTTGAGATGTGGCAAACATTTGCCACTTTTAACCATCGGTGGTATTCTGCGATAACTGGTGTTTCTGCCGCCGGCGTAAACCGGTATCTCATTCAGACTAATGACCTCTTCGTCCGCTATATTTTATGAAAAAACTTTGCGCTGAAGATCGAGGTTCAGAAATTGGATGGACAAATCGAGTATGGTCCGAATTATTGGATGTTGGTCGTAACTCATGATCCAGTCATTCGTATTGGAAATGTCTGCTTTCTCATTATGCAAAGTGGCGAGATCGTAAATAACAGCTAGTGGTTTTGAAGTAAAAATTAATAACTACGATAATCAATTACATTTCGAATAATACATGTGATTACATCTAATTCGACTCACGTAATACAAAATTATCAAGTTTCATATTTAAGTAGCTAGCGTACGTTAACCTCGTGATATTCTTATTTTTGTTGTAAAAGTCAACTTGCATATGCAAAAGAAATTGCCTGTATAATGTGTCGATTGCATTTCTGTTAGTCAAATGCATACACCGTCCGATTGTTCCCTTAACGCGTGCACCCGATTTGGTTGACCCGAAGTAGTTTATAAATCCGGTGGCATAAAACTCGGCGGGGTAATATTCGGCCACAAATGGCTTATTGGTTTCATTGATTAAAGAATTGGACGCCCGCAACAATGACATTGGATTTAAATCCTTAAAATGAACAAGCTTAGTTAGATTTGATTTAAATATAGTTTTATTAGCAATGTGTTTTACTGAACCCAATAGATGTTGGTCTAAAAGATCGTAGGACTGTGCGGTTATTTGCACCAATAATAGTAATATTAATTTTAGCATTTTAGTTTAACACAGTTTATATTTGTATACTTGAAATGTCTTTAGGGATATCTTGCTTAAGATATTATAATGAAATTGATTTTATAATTGAAGTTAATTAATTTAATGATGATATTTTTGTAAAATTTTTAAACAGTATATTAAATGTTTTATTTAAGTAAACAATAATTACAAGATTGAAATAAAACTAATTATTTAATTAATTATACGTTTTATTTATACGGCTACCACACCATCTACTAACCTCTTATAATACTTTTGTATGTGTTTAAATTATATGGCGGGCAATGTCAGGCAATATTACGCACATTGTATTGTATTGTATGCGTTTGCACTGTCCGTCTCCGCCAAACCTCCAGCCATGGAATGGACACTGAATACAGTCGTCGCCCGACTCTGACTCAGTCACCACATGTCCGCCNAATGGACACTGAATACAGTCGTCGCCCGACTCTGACTCAGTCACCACATGTCCGCCGACACCGAGATTTGCGCCCAAATGTTGAGTCAGACCTTATTCTTTAGATGTGTTTTTATTGTCGCCGTATTTGTGCCATAATTTAGGATTAATTCAATACAGTATTAGTTTTATTAGGAGTGTCCCAGGTGCGATTTATGCTCATTTTTATAATGTAAACTTGCATGAGTTTACATTGAATCATAGGTTTCTGGGAACTTCTAGTTTTATTGTTTTGTTTTGTGAGTCTATAACTTTTTGACGTTTTGTAAACTCGATATATATTTTTTTACTAATAATTACTTTTATTATCATAATTATTTTTAACAAAGAATGTATTACCGTATTACTATTTTTAGAGCATAGAAATTGTATACATGTTCAAATTAATAAGATTAATTCATAACAGACTTTAATTTAAATTGGTATTTATTGTTTATCACAAAATTTTTACTTATTCTGACATAAATATAGATTACACGCTCACATAAAGAATAGTTTAAAATGTTTTATTTTGTGAAATTTTCAAAAATTAGTAAACACAAGTATTATGTTTTTAAATCTGCAACAATTAAATATTTATAAGTTATAGTTTATTTATAAATTACTATATTTCTACTAAACTTAAGCTTAAAAGCCTTAAACTAAAAATATTCTAGTTTTAAGAATATGCATTATAAAATTAAATTAATTTTAAATATGTGAATTAGTAGAAATATATGCCCTATCCTAAACCATCGCGTCACATATTAACCCCCAAAACTACACTACTGTTTGTGATATCGACCGCAAATGGACGACCAGTAGAAGTTACCTTTCGTAACGTTCAGCGCCTCCAACACGTAGCGGTCGAGCGCCGGTACGTTCATCGCGTTCAACCGCCGGGCGTACTCCTGGACCAACGTCCAGAGGGCGCGCATTTCGCGCACAATACAATCGCAAGCTTGTTGTGCTGACCAGCCCTCGCGCACCATAAGCAGGTACATGTACGCGTGTTTGTAGTCACCCGCCCGCACCTCTTTGCCAAAAGAGTACACCTCGTTGGCCAACACACCGTGTTTGTAGCATATGGTGGTGAACGCCCGGTAGGTGGCGTTGTTTGTCAGATTATGGTCGTTCGGGTCGAAACAGGCGCTCAGCTCGGCCAAGATGAAAACGCAATAGCCCGCGGCGTCCACTTCCCTATGGTTAATTATTTTTATAGATGATTATATTTTGTATACATAAGTAATAACACTTATTAATAATTTTTAAGCTACCTGATAGTGAGAAACTCTTTGTATGTAAGCACCTTGTCGCATTTATAGTCCATCAGTGTATTGTATCCGTTAATATAAGCTAGAAAATGCTCGTGAAACCGACGAGCTTGGTCTTTACTCATGTTAGTGTTAATCGCGTCAATCATTTTGATCATTAATCTATCAATTGGTGTTTTTTCATCGCTACGACCTGCTTTGTATTTATTGTACCAATATCTATGTATAGAGTAATAATTTGATTATTGTAGAAAACTTTCAAAACCCTAAAATTGTGATGATTAAATTTAATATAAATTTATTTATGCAAATACATTGAAAAGTTAGCATATTAAGATAAAAAAAATAAAATAAACTACATTAATCTTAAAATTTTAAATTATAATTTCATTAAGTTTTACATACAAATAATTAATCATTAAATATACCATATTACAAAAACAATAAATATCCCTATTTTACATACCCGATTAATTTTTGGTCTGCGATTTTATCAAGGTGATCATCGATGATAAATCCAAACGCGCTCCAGATATTAATGGCCTCGAAATGTGCGTAATTACTGGTTGTGAACATGTAGGCCATGTAATCAAAATAATCATGCCTATCCACCCATTGTCGCTCAAAACACTCGCTAACAACGCGTTCAATAGCGGTCCGGGCCTCTAGAAAGTGAGGATTTTTGGTCACCCTGATGGGCTCGATGCCTCGGATCACGTAATCAATCATGTTGCTGGTTATATTTATATGTTTTACCATGTTAATTTCATTAGCGTTGTCAGTATCGTAGTGTATGTCGTCGGGTATTAGTTGATTGAACGATGTAATTGGTTCGCGAACATAATTATTGTACCCCTCGTATTCATTTGAAATCATGTTAAATGTATAGTTTAAACATTAACAATATAAAATGTAAAGTACTTCATATTTGCATAGATGCGCTATTACTTCCAGCAATGTGTTGAATATACTGTACAGTATATTAAAAAGGATGCCCTTATGTTTATATTTTTTACATTACAAAATATACATTAATTTTAAATGTTATATAATTATGTTATTTATAGATATTATGATTGTAAAGTTAACACATAATAAATTAAGTTTTCATAGTTTTTATTTTCAGATTTTAAATAAAACGTTTTTAAAAATTTATTTAATTTCTCATTGAAAAACATGCATATATTAATTTTAAAGATTTTATATAGCTTATGCATCATACAAAATAATACTCCTCATGTATATTATATAAGCTTATAACTAATATACTATATTTAACTGTAAGAACTACACAGTAAATTAATAATTAACTGTACAGTAAATTATAATTGTATGAACTTTAAAAACTATGGCAGGTTAAAGATACATTGCGATGTTTAGCACCGACCCGCGGTGCTAGATGGTAATATATCTATAACTGGTTGAGGCCGCTTTCCAATAGCCGCCAATCACGTACATCATATCGCGCACGTATTGGCCGGTGTGTTGTCCCGCCCACCGTTCGGCCCGCAAACGGCGATACAACGCCAGCGCCGCGTTCTCCACCGCTCGCCACTCGTCGACCACGCGTTCAACGGCCGCGTCTATCGTCAACCCCTGGCCAACGGACACGACTGACACGCAATTGAACACAAGGTGCGCGCGACCGCCAGCGGCTGACAACTCTTTACCTAGATGGCAATATACAAATCTGTATACAGTATAAGGCAACATTTACAGCCCTCGCCGCTATTCTTACCGTACGAATATAAATCGCTGCACATAATGCCGGCCCGGATTAACAAGCACGACAGGCGCTCGAGCTCCGGGTGGCGCCAGTCCTCGTCCGGTACGTATATATTGGCCGCGAATTCAATTAATTGAAAATATAGAAAAATGCCCGACGATTCCACGCGCAACTATATCCGACCGACATGAATATATTTGAAATATTTTGACAAATATTATACTAGCGCTGTACGTTATAAGATATACTGTATATTCACCTTAGCCGCTCAGTTAATTATAATATATCAATATTTTATGTAATGTTATACTTGTAAGACATGGGGAGTAAATTATGACTTACTTTCATAAAATCGTCCAAGTGGCAAAACGAGCGCATTTCGACTACAGCCTCGCGCTCACCAATCCAACCATTTATGAACCGAGTGTACGCCCGGACCAAACGACCCCTCTGGACGGCATTATAAGTGGCCGCAATGCGCGCGTAGACATCGCGCTCAGCCACCACGTACAACGGATTATGGTTGTCATTAGCGCGCGTGCGCTGTACGTTTGCGCACGCGCCGTCGACTCGGTCGGGCTCGGCGTCTGCGCACACCTCTACAATCGCGTCCGTCAATTGGTCGCATACAGCGCGCGCTTTGGCCACATCGCCGGCGCAGTCGCCGTACGGCGTGTCCAAGTGATCGTCAATAGCAAACTCGTTGAGCGCCGCCTGGCATAGAGCCCGGTATCGGTCGGAGTCTGCGCAGTGCGGGAAACAGTAGGCGACCATCACTACGACACACTCCACCCGTCGGTACCGCTCTCTAGACAGACCGCTCGCCGCGAACGCCCAGTCGACCGCTTGGCGCTCGACGTGCCGACCGTTGTCTATGGCGTTGCGCGCGTACGGGAACGCCGTTTCCAGAGTGTCCAGCGCCGGGTGCCAGTGCTTAATGTTTGTTTTGTCGCCCATGATGAAATTTTGTGTAAATAACATATGTTTTTCTTTTTGTTGAGCTTTATTAATTAATAAATTATTAATACTGTATATAAATTATATGATCATCAATAATTAAATAAATGTAGAATTAAATGGCTCGAAAAATGTTATAATTAGTTTATAAATTCAAAATAATTTAATTTAAACTCTTGTTAATATTAAATTAATTACTTGTGCAGTTTAAACAATTGTAACTAAATATAACTAATTGTAACTAACTAACATACGTTAGATAATAAAATTTGTTTATTACAAAATAAATGATTGAAAGATTACAATTATTAAGTGCTCGGCATTACCACACTTTAGCACTTGATAACAAATTAAATAATTTAAAATATAATTAAAAATCTAACACAATTAAATTTTATTTAAAAATGTTATCTATTCAGGCTTAGCGTTATTAATTGCCAAATAAAGCATCATGAACACCGACTTTAAGTGTGGCTCCTGGGGTTCAGGTATTTGTGACCAATCACAATCAACACTGGGTTTAATTGTATTGTATTCAATCAATTGTGTCAACGAATTTAAGTGTATCCTAAATATGGTTTGTGTCATTGGATTCTTTAGCAACTTTGCTGTTGTGTCAACCCATTTGTCCAAAAAACTTATGAGAGAGAGAGAGAGAGAGAGAGAGAGAGAGAGAGACTATTTTATTAATGTTTTTGTTTATAAAATTATTGTATCGATGAATACCAGTATATTTTGGGTAACGTATATCCCTGTCCGGGTCGGCCCGCGTGAACCATAGCCCGGGTGAAATTCCTGCGGGCAGGTATCATCTCGTTGTTAAGCTCGTATAATTCTCTGAATGCTCTTGGTACAGGGCTACTTGAATTAGTATTGTTCAATTTTGTACATGAATCAAATATGGTCAGCCGATACGCTGTAATCTTATTCATAGCCCTCATAATTATAGTATTGTTACCAAACCATGTCTTAAGTATGTCCTTTTGTGTTTTTATAAAATTTGGATTTATCCTAATTGTGATAAGCATCATGTTGTAAATATCATTTATAGAGATACTAAACTCACCAATCGCAATACTTTTTGATGTCATCGAAAGTTTTAAACATTGGATGGTCGGGATCGCCATAACCAATTGAGCTAACTAGAACTTTATCTATTTCTGGCATTGTAATTGCAGTGTACATATCTATAAAAGTGGTTAAATTTATATCATTTGTTAAAGTAATAAAAATTTTCATTATACATATACATAAATAAAGTATGCATTTATAAACTGGTAAAATATGTCATTTAAATCTAATCACTTTCGGGCTGAGAGTTATTAATTGCCAAATAAAGCATCATGAACACAGATTTCAAGTGTGGCTCCTGGGGTTCAGGTATTTGTGACCAATCACAATCGGCACTGGGTTTGACTGTATTGTATTCAATCAATTGTGTCAACGAATTTAAGTGTAATTTAAATATGGTTTGAGTCATTGGATTCTTTAGCACCTTTGCTGTCGTGTCAACCCATTTGCCCAAAAAACTTATTAGAGAGAGAGAGAGAGAGAGAGAGAGAGAGAGAAAGAGAGAGAGAATAAGTAATGTAGTTGTTTATACAATTATTATACCAGTATATTTTGGGTAACGTATATCCGTGTCCGGGTCGGGCCGCGTGAACCATAGCTCGGGTAAAATTTTTGCGTGCCGGAATCATCTCGTTGTTAAGCTCATATAATTCTTTGAATGCGCTTGGTACAGGGCTACTTGAATTGGTATTGTTCAATTTTGTGCATGAATCAACTATGGTCGGCCGATACGCCGTAATCCTCTTCATAGCCTTCATTATTATAGTATTGTTACCAAACCATGTCTTAAGTATTCCCATTTGTGTTTCTATATTAATTGGGTTTATCCTAAATGTGAAATGCACCATGTTGTAAATATTATATTAATATTATTATTTAATTAGTAATTTAGACAAACTAAAATCATATATAATTAAAAACATTATTTTGATTTTTACTAGAGCATTTAGATTGATACTAAACTCACCAATCGCAATATTTTATAATGTCATCAAAATTTTTAAACATTGGATGGTCGGGATCGCCATAACCAATTGAGCTAACTAAAACTTTATCAAATTCTTGCATTGTAATATTAGCTGCATTCACGTAGACATCTATAAATTTTATTAAATTTTACAATTTGTTAATGTAATACAAATATACCTAAACATAAACAAGCTTATAAATAAATAAATAAAGCTTATAGACAAAGATAACACAGCAATTTTATACGCTGATTCTATGTTATTCCTATGGAATTATTCCTATATTATTCTCATGTTAAAGTATATCCATAAACTTAAGCTGTAATCTCATTGAGCAGGGTGGGGATGGTTAGCCGAATGTGCATCCAAACCACATTAATCAATGCAGAATTGTGGTTTGGATAACAATTATCGTCAAATTATAATCATAAGCAGGTCATTCCAAAATAGAGAGGGGACATTTATAATTTAAACGTGGTTATTGTTTGACCATGGTAATTTCTAAATATTACTCACTATAAACGTACTCGCTTATTTACATTAGTGTATGAATAATGTGCACAATTTTTTATACGGTTGGCACTATTCTGGCACTTTGGAAGCCGTTGATCATAAGTGACTAATTAAGTCCCATGGATCAAACAATTGAAATCTGATCTTTGTGTATTTCTAAATTTTATCTATTGTGTTAAATTAAAGATTTGATTTTTATAGACCAGATATGAGTAAATTAATGGATGAATAAATAGAGATAGATAGGATTGGAGTAGGAATAGGCGTAAGTGTGGATTATAATAAAATAAAGTTTATTACCTGTGATCAAAATCATACATCCTGTGAATATATATAAATTGAACATGGCGACAACCAATGCAAACGTGTAGTTGTATTGTATTTAGTATAATATAAATAATTTACAAATAAATATGTTTATGTATTTGTTTATATATTCTACAAAAAAATTATTTAATTATAATTATCTAAAATACAAGATGGTTAAAACTTAATTAATTAAATAATATAGAATATCAAACATAGACAGCAGGACAAGGCTAGTAACCATTATTAGGTTGTATACTCATAGGTGAGTGGATTGTAATTTTTAAAAAGATAGAATAGATTTTACCCAAAAAAAACTTATAATTTAATAATAATGAATTTGATAATAAATTATGAGAAACTTTTTATTAATTTAAAGTGTGATGTTCACGTGAGTGAATATAGATTATATTTAAAATTACAACATTTTGATTATTTTATGAATCAATGCATACATTAATCCGTTTTCTATTTATGAATATTAATAAAATTGTTGACAAAATCGCCGATAACTGACAATTAGGGCATCATTTTTAGTGAATTTCGGGTTTGCTTGTGGTTTCATATTCACCCAGATTGGACCATCGTCAAACAACTATAAATAAAGCATTCATAGAAAAACACAAACATTAATTACAAAATACAAATTTAAACAAATTACACTATGATTAATGGATTAAAATAAAGTTAGTTTGTAATCACCTACCGCATATACAAAAATTAGAGCAAATAATTCCGCGCACATGTAATTAAACAAACCAGGGGTCGAAATAAAATGGTAATTTAATATTGTTCTCTTTGGTGCAATGCATGTTGCTGAAAACAAAATGCTCATGTTAGGCAGACATGGTATGGTCAAACGTGTTAGAGTAGGGCTCAATAACTCGAACTTATAATGAAACGAAAATAGACGACATTTAAATAATTTAACTTTCATTGTCATCATGATCGCAATGTTTTTGGACTGTTGACTGGTCCACAAGTATTCGGTGGTCAGCGCATTGTTAATCAGGGTTGGATGCGTATAAGTGAAATGGTGCATGTCCACTCCATTTTCCATTATTTGCTACTTCGAATATGTTAAATTCAAGTATTTTACATTGATACATTTTTAGACATAATAAAGGATAATTGAGTATAAAAATATCGCACCTGAGCTGATTGAGTCACCATGTGTGGTACGGTTTTGAGTATTTGTGCATGCTCAATTTCGTTTAGTTTGATAGGTTGATGGGTTGGGTGTGAATTGTTTCTATCATACCATACATATATGAAATCATTTAATTCAATTGTCGGCCATTTATTTACTCTCTCATTTAATTGACCCAGTTCTTTGTCTATGATTAAGTAAATTTATATTAGTTCATATGTGACATATGTCAGTACAAATATACAATATACTATTGAGATTAGGTATGCGTTTGCACTGTCCGTCTGCGCCAAACCTCCAGCCATGGAATGGACACTGAATACAGTCGTCGCCCGACTCTGACTCAGTCACCACATGTCCGCCGACACCGAGATTTGCGCCCAAATGTGGACAATAGGCGAACAAACAGTGGACGACACCCGACGGGCCCCGGAATAGCACCAACTGTTGGCCGCAAAGTTGTATCGCTTTCACAGAATTTAATGCCAACTCTTTTGAAAGGGTAATTATATACCATGTATTAGGATATTCATCAGATGTATCAGGTTCGTGGTCACCATGGTCAACATTATATAATGGCTTTTTATAATCGATAAGTTTATGATAATAATTTTGCAATTTATAATTAAAATCTAAGAAAATAGTTTATTTACCTGTAATTTCTTATCAATATTCAATGTTACTAAAAAATAATAACACTTAATAATATAAATTGGTATATAATATAAACATTGGTGCAAATTATAGAACATTGTTATTAATAATATCGGTAATAATTAAATCACAAGATTGTTTTGTTCAAAATAATGTTTTATAATCAAAATATTGAAAATACTTAATTAATTAATTAAGTTAAGTGGCTAAGTATAGAGGTCTCTTTTAAAAATGGTTAATAGCATAATTATATTTAATTCAATAATTGAGTTTATAATTAAAAATAAACATCTGTTTTAAGGCTTTAGTTTTCTAAACAACAAATGACAAAATGCTACTTTTGTATATTTGTAATTTTACAAATATAATTTCTACTATTGTTTTAGTAACAATTGTTTATTATATAATAAAATTCTACAGAAACTTGGGCAATTACCCATCTGGTCCCACGCCATTGCCTTTGATCGGCAATCTATTATGTAATGTACAATATATTACTAATTATAAAAAATAATTAATTATACCATTTTAATACAAATTAATTAATATTATTACTACAAAAGTATTACGCAACTTTCAACAACACTGGAGTGTAGAGGCTAGTAAATTGAGCAAGATTTATGGCCCGGTGTTTACCCTATGGATCGGTCCCTTACCATTTGTGTTTATATGCGACCCCGATATGGGTCGCCAGGCGTTTAATAAATCACATTTCTGTGACCGACCGGAAACACAATATCGTGAGCATTATTATCATACATTAATTTCACGTTTAATTATTGCAATTTATATCTTATAATATTACTAATAATAATTGTTGTAACTATTGTAAGAAATTTTATACAATGATGACAAAAACGCGAGGGGTGTGCCCGGTGCTGATTATGGACCCGCTTGGAATAGTGGACGCAGGATAATGTTATCTGCGATTAGGTTGGATTGAAATTTACAAATATACAATATAGATTATGAATGTGCTCAAAAAAGTATGACTTTATGTAAACTTGTATAAGTTTTTATAATAAAAATTCTCTTATGCAAATTTTCTTTTTGCAAATTCATACTTTAGATATTTAGGTACTTTTAGTGCTAGGGTTTTATAATTATAAGTATAATTAATTTAATTTGACATGTACTTTTTCTTTGATAGAAATTATGCCAAAACCAATGAATTTTCGCAATTAGTGGCCAACAGTACGGCTGAAATGTTAAGATTAATAGAACTTGAGGAGGGAATTAATAAACCATTTACACCAGACACATTTGCCTACAGCTTGTTTTTAAATATCGCATGCACAATTGTGTTTAACAAAAAGTAAGCACTAACCACTAAAGTAACCACCAAATTATTATATGCAAATAAATTAATTTACACAAATGTAATTCTTGTTGTCATTAGATTTAAAAAGGATGATGATGAGTTTAAAGCATTTAAGTATATATTGTCAGATCATTTTAAAGAGTTTGGCGCGAGCGTTTTTATCTATGATTTTGTGCCCATCATGCGCTATTTTATGAGCAACCCGCTCATTAAATATAGCAAGTTGTTTAAATTTATTCAGAATTATACCCGGAATATATACCAAACTCATGAAAGCACATATAATATGACAATTACGAGAGACTTTTGCGATTTATTAATTGCTGAAAAACACAATGCAATCGATGACGACAAACACACTGCACCCTATTTTACCGATGATAACCTAACGTCAATTCTAATAGATTTTGTTTTTTGTAAGTTTAAGTAATAATTTTATTTATAATAAATAATTTAACAATTATTTTGTTTATGCTTTATTGTTTGTACAGTATTACTATAATGCATTTATTTATTGTAAAAGTAATATGATTATTACATATTTTAAATTTTGAAATTATTAGCTAGCACAGAAACAACTTACACAGCATTTAAATGGATGCTATTATACCTGGCTTATTATCAAAAGCTACAGCAAAAGATACGTGATGAGGTCATGTATGTGCTAGGTGATTGTTTGCCTGTTTCCGATGACAAAGTTCGTTTACCACATACAATGTCATTCATATTTGAAATATTACGTGTGAGAAATCCTACGCCTACAGGTGTCCCACACTATGCAACGGCTACCGGGAAAATAGGTAACAAATTATAGACATGTTAATATGCAACAAAATTAACATTTAAATTGATTTTATTTATAAAAATATCGTTCAAAGGCAAATATAACATACCGGTAGATAGTGTGTTAATGTTGCATCAGGCACATATCATGAACGATCCAGAGCATTGGACAGATCCAGATTGTTTTAACCCGGGTCGTTTTCTCAATGGAAATGGTTGTATCGATCTAGTTAAACCTAATGCTTATATGCCGTTTGCAAGTGGTAAACGTATCTGTCCCGGCGAACCAATGGCACTGAATGAGTTATTTTATAGCCTGGTCACATTGTTGCAATCGACCAAGGACTATACAATTAACTTACATTGCGAAGCTGAACGCACATTGACTATGCTTGAATCTGATCCAGGTGTATTATGGTTTCAGTGCCCCAAACCGTATAAAATTATATTAAATAAAAAGCAAACATAAATTATATGCATTTATAGAGATTGTCTTTAATTCCCATCCCGTCAAAAATTTTTAATTTACATATATTGTTAATATTATCTATGGATTCGATGTAAATTTTAAAGCTGATTACAAATATGAAATCAATTTTTTAGTAGACATGATTTATTTTATTTAATACTTTAAATACTTTATTTAATAACTTAACTTATTTGGATAATAATAGCTATAATATATAAGATTGATATAATTATAAGAAAGTATAAAGCAATTACTTGCTAAAAAATTTCTCATTTAAAAAGAAATTACTTTTAATGTAACAAAAATTTTAATATTAAACTTATAATGGTTTTGATTGTTTCTATTTTATGTGATTGATTTTTTTGGTTTCTTTGCTTTTGTGTGTTTCGTTGATTTTGTTGATTTTGTTTGCTTTTGTTGGTTTCGTTTAGTTGATTGTTTTCGTTGAATTCGTTTGGTTTTGTCGGTTGTTTTTACTTTACTGCTACTATTGGGAACCAAAACGGGTGGCGCACCTTTTTGTTTAGATTTTGCCGGCATTTCACAGTTTTGTTTGAGATACTCATTAAGGGGTTTACCTCCACTCTCTTTTCTACCCTCTTCTATACACTCTTTATTAACCTTAATAAACAAATCCCAATCACTTTTGGATATATGCTTGAGATGTGGCAAACATTTGCCACTTTTAACCATCGCTGGTATTCTGCGATAACTGGTGTTTCTGCCGCCGGCATAGACCGGCACCTCATCCAGACTTATATACTCTTCGGCCGCCATTTTTCTTGCGATATGTTTGCGGCGAATGTCAGGATTTAGTATTTGGAGAATAAAATTCACTGTTGCCTGAAATATTAGATTCTGATCATACATAATGGTCAAATATTTATTTAAATTATCCGGATCCTCATTAAACAACATGGCCATATCGTATTGAACAGCTGTTATGTTAGAAACGAAAATAATAAATATGACAACAAGGTTCACACAGCGATGCTATACGTTAACTACAATTCGGGAAATGCATCAAAGATTTTTAATTTTTCAATACTTTTGTTAGAATACATTAACTATTGGTTTGTAGAGAATTTTAAATGGTTTTAACAACAATTAGTTCGATTTATTATGTCAGATTTATTTAGTATATTTTAATTTTAAAAAAGCATCATCCCATTGAAATAACATTACTTGCATAAACTTTGCATTACCCATGTTATCCCTATGTCATAGACTCAAGCTGTAATAACACAAAAACCCATGTTAAAGCGTCCCTATGTTAAACCTATGAGAGATGTCCTATGTTAAAGTATAGACATAGGATTAACATAAAATTCCATGTTAAATTTCATATGGTGGGTGGGGGAGGAGAGGGGGCAAAACGATTCTATAAACCACATTGATCATAACTGAATTGTGATTAAAAATTGTACTTGGTATAATCAATGTAATTGTTGTTAATCAATACTCACGTAACATATAATTAGCCAGTGTCATATTTAAAAAGCTGTAATACCCGAACCTCGTGACATTTTTAGTTTTGCGCATAAATGAAGCGACCATGTGCACAATAAATT